GAAAACAAAGATGGCGTATCGACATATCGGCCATTTTACGGAGAAATTACTTTACAAATGTTTTTATTAATTTCTCAAATTCAACAAATTGTTGAAGGTTAGTATTTTGTGACTGGTTTATTGACTACCCAAGGATTCCAAAACCTTCATTCATTGGATTTTAGAAAATGGTTTCATATCCATTTTAAGGGTATTGATTGCTTCAAATGTTTACTGTGATAGTGAGTTCATCCATGGAATAGGTCCATGTCCATCTGTGAAAGGGGTTCTCAACTAGGCCTAGGCTAGACCTATATCGCAGTAGGGGAAAAAATGGTTCATTGAATAAACACTGAATAAATTTTACACAACCTTGGCATTACCTTACAGACGCGTGTGAATGCTTTTTATCTCGGTAGGAATAACTCGGGAGATCGCTCGGTTACAATTTGTTAATTTTTGTTAAATTTAACTTCACGTGTGAATCGGGTACAAGACTGAATGACCCATAATAAAGTTGCAGTTACTTTAAAATTCTTTATCTTCCAATATTAAAATCATTTCCTTTAGCCAATAATACTGTAATATACTGTAATAAAGGGTACCAATAAACATGGGAACAGATCATGGGGCCCTTCCCACATATTTTTAAAGGGGTTAGTCCCCATGCTTTGCAATGTAAAACAAGTAAAGATGCCTGAAAATTGTTGAAATGAACTGCAAAAATGACCCTGGTTTTGATGAAAGAGCACTGCACAGCCAGATAGAGTATGATGATGAATTTTACTAATAAAGCCAATTCAGACAGATGGGCTATCGATATTGCGGTAATGATGCAAGCATGCACTTTTTTATATGAAACAAATATTGCAGTAATATTGCCATAATATAACACCTTCCTGTATGAATGGAATATTTACTCTGGCATTGCCATCGGTAATGTCAATTGTATAAAAACAATGCAAGTTTTCCTGTAACCATTATGCTAGGCCTAGATTTATGATATAACCAGCCTACCTACTTACTGCACATGCTATATCATATTTTTCAGGATTTCAGTTTGCTGCGTTTCGATGTAGGCATAGCCCCCATAATAATTTAAAAGTATTTGTAATATAAATTAAGTATGAGCACCCTGTCAGTGCGAAGAAAACCTTTTTCATTTCTTGCTATATGTTCCTTTTCCAAATTGGAGATTAAATAAACACATACTGTCAGAATACTGAGGCAAACATTGACATCCATTTTCTAAAGCAGGAAATCAAAGAATTATGGGGCAGTAAGCCTTTTCTACTTTAGGTAAACATTTGCTTTATTTTGTTCCTAGGCTGTTAAACACACAGTGTTTATAAATTCCAAAAGTAAATCACATCTGGACATGTAATTGATAGTTCTGTTTTCATTCTTATCAATGGAAAAGTAAATCCACACATATGCAAATAAATCACCATTGCTATATAAACTAGGCACTGTATGAAACTTGGGTAAAGATGTTTTTGATCAAGTACATTTTACAGCATTTTATCCCTCAGGACCTTTGGATTAAGCAATGAGCATCCTTATCACCAAGGGAATAGTTATATTGAATCCATTGAAATTAACGATAATTCCAAAGATACTAGAAATACAAGATGGAGCAATCGCATAGCAAAAGTGAGGCGGATATACGTCACACCTTTCACACAAATCCAGTCGTAAAGCGGCGTCCTTCAGTTTTCAATATAGCAATTTACACATGTTTATCCAGTTCATATCTAGACGTACTGGGCGCCCTTCTGTTGCTAAGTAAATCCAGACGTACACGGCGCCCTTTTCTTTCCGCTAATATCCGCTAATGATAGAAACTTTATCAGTAATCACAGTCTGATCATACAATTCTACACTTTTGTGTCTGTTATTTTATTCTTTTGATTTATTTATGCCTACTTGATTGTATTTTATGGGTGGCAACAATGCCTACCTCCACCAAATGGGCCTTTAGAAGGGTATATATTCACCCGGGTATTCATTGTGATGTAGAATTTGACAGAAGTTTTTTAGGGTGTGTTTCTACTGATAAACACAAAATAATCGATTTTTTAAAACGGTTTTTTTAATGAGTACCAGACAGCCTGCTGGCGTTGCAACTGCATTTTTGATTTTTCGAAAATCGGTTTTCGTGACACAAATTACGTCACCATTTTGTTTATAAAACACGTTGTTTCCTAACTGTATAGGATAGTATCTTTCTCATTCCTGTCATGATGACGAGGAGTAAGATACGATGTGGGGCGAGAAAGCAAATGTTTTCGGCTGTGCTCATCAGCACAATTATGAACGACGACCAAACGAGGACAACGGTAGGCCCAAAAGAGCCAAGAGTCCTAGGCCCAATATCCCCCTCCCCCCACAAAGTAATTAAAAAACGAATTCGTCACTCCTCATGTTTGTTGACATTTTTAGCTTGTAGGCCTAGGACATAAACAAAAGGACAAATTTGTTTTGAAAGTTCGGGCCTAATACGATCTAGTCTTTGCAGTGATTGACCTGGAGGTCACATTTCACCTGATAATCGCTTTTTTTGTGTTGCAGCTAAAAGGTGCACAGCCAAAATTGGTTATTTGCCGTTCAAACACGCTATACATTGCGTGTTTTTAATCAATTTTTTTTAATCGCTTTTTTCAAACTGGTCCCGTTTCTACTGCGAGAATAAAAGCGATTTTTTGAAAAAGCGATTTTTAATTAATTATTTCTTTCCAGTAGAAACAGGCCCTTAGATCCAGCCATACGCAGTGCCCCATCGTTTGAATTCCCACCATGCATTTCGGTGAAACACTTTTTTTCTGTGGAAAACTCTACCTTGTGTTTCTAGCTTTGATAATTCTCTTAACTAATTCTCATCCTGAGGCTTAAGGGGTAAAGCTGTTTTTAATCAGAGAAAAATCCTAGTAATTGTGAGGATTAAACCTAGGATTATCTGATTCTATTGAACACAATTTTTATTTTATCTCCTTCCACTCAAATTATTATTATGTGATAATTATTATATGATCAGGCGTCTACATCACACAAATATCTAATAAAAATTCCATAATACAATATCAATAATAATAAAAATAATCATGATCAAGTGGCAGGTCACTCGTTGTCACGTGACCTTTGGTGTTAGTATAATCATGTCACAAGAGGCTGTTGTAGATGGTGATAGGTCACTTGACAGCTGATGAATAATAATAATAATAATAATAATAATAATAATAATAATAATAATTATAACAATAAGCTTTACAAAGTGCACAAGTCCACTGCAGTAGTGCTCAAGGTGCTAAAATGAAGGGAAGGTACCAAAAGCTACTGAAAGGAAATAAAGCCATTGACTTTTAAAGGTAACTTTTGTCTATTACATTATAACATGAGAGTCAGATAGTAACTTCCAAGGCAATAATCACGATGACAGCAAACAATACTAAAATAATAATAATGAAAATAACACAGTACTAATAGCTTGTGTTTGAAGAAATACTACAAAGTTTGTATTTAATTTAATAAGCCAATATACATCTGTCAATTATTAATTTCAGTGCATAAAACTAATAATACAAAGCAAAACTTGAATATGCATTTCTTTTTCAATTTATAAAGAAGGATCTGATTCCTCAAAGAGAAATATTTAAATTCTCTCTAAATGTTGTCCGTTTTCAGGCATGAACAACCGAAGTGAAATGTCATTCAGCCTTCACCCACTCACTCACTGGGTTGAGAAGTGGCCAGAGAATTGTTGAATTATATCACTAGACATGTTAATGAATTGCTGTTCTTTGACATACATTAATAGTACAAGAATCAAATGTTGCTAATTCTCAGGCAACGGTGGTGCCAAACGTGAAAACAGATAACCTGTACTTTATAAGCATGATTTTGAGTGGATTTTGATTTATGTTTCTATTCAACCAAATCAACATAAGAATGAATTTTTAAATGCATTCGAAATTTTTTTTACTAAACTTGTATTAAAAAAAACCAATGGGAAGTAAAAAAACAATATTTGTTACAATACCATTATTTAAATCTTGGTGAAAATGTATGAGTCATGTTTACAATCTGCAAAATACTAATGGAGCACGTTTTTGAGCCTAAATAGAATAAAACAACATTACGGTATTCACTCCAATGTCCGGGTATAACTAATATGATCAATTATATTTTTATTTGGCGAACCACAACATTATTCTTCTTATATGTAATATACCATCTGTGGTTATACATAAGATTATCCTTAATGAGGGTAACACAATTAGTGTGAAACATTGCTTCCAATTAAAGCCCTTAAACTAAGAAATAGCAAGAAAACTAAAATGATAAAAACAACTATTAAAACATTGTATGTAAGTGAAAATGAAAAATTATAGGCCTAACACAACAAATTCTGAGATAGAAGATATATCGAGATGAACTGTTTACTTTCAAAACTAAACCATGGTTCCATTTTTACTTTAATATACAATAGACAGAATTAATTAATTTCTAATAAATATATTATTATAAAGAAAATATATATTTCTGGATTTTTAATAATTTAAGACTTCTGTGAGAAAAGTATCTGTTCAGTATTTCATATTGATACCCTTGAAATTGTTGTTATCTAGCACGTTGATCAAGCAACATGTACAAAGAGAATTAACTGACAATTAGAAAAGAAATTAAGCTTAATTGCTTACCCTGAGAATCTGTTTCTGCTAGTGACTTCATTTTTCTGGTTGCTTTCATGTTTTTTCCAAGTTCATCTTAAAAAACAGGAAAAAAAATTAATTGTTTTGATACTGCTCAGATCACTTTCAAGGACTATGGAAAATATTAAGAAAAAGATAAGCTACTAAATCCCAATCTATTAGAAAATTTGTTCTGATTATACACATTGATCATTAATATTCTAATTTTATTTTTAATTGATCATTATCATAATTAATCAACTAATTGATTTAAAAATGAAATTCTGAGAAATGTGTGGCAGAGATTTTATCTTTCAAAACATTTTCTCTGCTTAATTGCATAATGATGGTGATCATACAATTTTCTTTAATAAAGATCACTAAACTCAAAATCAATCATATACAATGTGGTAACTCTTCCACTCACTTTGTTTACACTATTATAGTAAAGTTTTATGTGACAAAAATCTGTGATTTTCTTGCATATGAACATGATAGAGTAATGTCATATCATCTTTATGTGGGAAAATCACCTGAAACTTGATAATGTGAACAGAGCTTAAATATTCCTATTCATGCATGTAATTACATCATCACACCAATATCGATCCAAATCACACACATCTTACCAGAATACAGTACTCATTCACATTTTTGGGTGAAGCATGGAGACATTAAAAAAAACCTCCATTGGTGAAGGAGGACAAAGTAGAGTATCTCATCCCTAATCGGACTTTGCCAAACATCATAGGAAAATGTACCTTTGGTGTGTCAGATCTATTAATTGGATTTTCCCAAATATCAGATGGAAATAATGTACTGTAGGCTTCAGACTGACAACTGACAACATTCTGTTTAAAAGCTGAAAACATTCTCCCCAGCACCACACACACTCACATTGTGTGCATTATTTGTTCAAACTCTGTCTTTTCTGTGGTATTTACCTGTGATTCACCAATATATGGGTATGAAATCACATCATCATGAACAAATCTAGGGGTCCCAAATTGGAAGAAGTCATTTCCGGGAAATCTACAGTGGCGGGTCGAAGGGTAGGAGGTGGGAGGGACTTTCACAGATGGAGGGTCTAGGCCACCTAAACCCCACCACAAATGGAGCTGATGTAAAAAAAATTATGATTATGGCCCCTTTGGATGGCCGGAAATTGTCCTCTCTGACTTAAATTTGAATTTTTCTATTCTACCCCCTTTTTAAAAATATAATTTTGAAATATTTAGGGGGCCCGGGCTGGCATCCTCCCTTGAATCCGCCACTAACTGGTTAATGAGATTTCTTAACACAATTCATTTTATTTTGTTGCACATAGTAATACCCATCGGCACTGCTTTCGTGAGAAAACTGATAATAAAGTAGTAGGTGAAAATATGCAAAGTTATGAATTTGTGGAGATGGGTTAATTTCCGGGAGATTTTTGCTTGCTTGCTTGCGGAAGTACAGGAGGCCGTTCCAATTTCCGGGAGTTTTTGGTGACTTGGGACCCTGCAAATCAGATAATTGTTACCAAACTATTGATAGTATGAACAGAACATTAGCCTTTATTTTGTAAACAGTTACTCATAAGAAGAAGGGGAATTCTTTTTTGTTATTAAGTGGGTAGCCTGTGTTACCTCATGTCGCAATTTTTCCTATGGATTTACAGTCTGAATTGCAAAACTGTTGAATGGTTGTAAAGGATATATTCTATCTCAGATTTGTAATTATATTTGATATTTTTTTTTCAAAGATGTGGCAAAATGAGATCAAGACCTATTAGATAACTACAGTATAAGTAAATCTGAAGGAATCTGAATCTATTGTTGACTGCAAATGATTGTGACTGCAATTATTATACGTAAACACCAGGGCTGGAAATTAACCTCAAAACCATAGTGGCCAGCAGGGCCAGTAAGGAAAAAATGATACTGGCCCTTCCAAGGTTATACTGGTCCTATTTTTTTTGCGGTAAATATAAATCCGAAATATAATTTTACAAAAAATACAAAATCAATAAAACCAGCAAGATGACATTGGTGTAATAATTGTTTTTAGCCAATTTGGCAATTGAATCTGTCTTTAGCCAAAATCATTAGTCCGAGAAAAAATCCATTGTATGACTATTCACGATCGACACAAGAGTTTTAAAAATGTGATTTTAGACCACATAGAGATTGGCAACCAAAATAACATTATTTGATAGGCAAATTATTATTTTTGGCATACCAACGAGGTACAGTAATTCAAAAGTTTTCTATTAACACAAAAGTTGAAAAAATTACAAAGGCCTAGGCATAAAGTATTCTCCTTTTAGTTTAGAACGATATCAGCGGGGTGGGGGGAGATCGTGGAGCACTGAGAAAAGCCTACTTTTGGGAGTTAGTGGAACAATAGTGTCTCCAGAAAACCTGTATTTTATGCATTTTCAGTATAATTATGTATCAGGACATAAAGTTCCAACAAGGAACAAGAACAAAATTGGCTTGGGTCTGATCGTCTGGAAATAGGCCCAAATTTTTCACTGCAATGATCAAGGACTTACGATCTGGACCTACTGTAGCCTAGGTCTAGTAGTAGGCTATGCCTAGCCTTGGCAGATTAAACCGCTACTACTACTAGGCCTAGGTGCCTACTGCCGTCACTCTGCTCTAGTACCACCGTGTAACAGAGCAACCAACGTGGTGCATTCTTAAAATATTACACGCATTACTTAAATGTATTTTACATATCAGGCGAGAACACAAAATCATTAACATTTCTACCACCATCGCATGCATAGACCTTGATCCTAGGCCTAAGCATACGGTAGTCCTCCATTGGATAAACAAGCTCAGAAGTCGTTATGTACCCGACGGTCGGCTGCCTTTAGGTATACTTTGTGGCTAGTTTGCGCCCAAAGGGTACTTCCAGCTAGCCAGCTGTCGTGAATATACAGTAGTTCCTTTGTGTAATCGTCATACATGAGGTGATTCACCTTCATATAGTCGTCGTCATACAGCCACTGCCCTTCATTCACCGCGTTAAAATAACGAATAACAAAATTCGAAGCACACAATGACGTTTGCAACTAGACTACCAATACAACAACACAAATAAACTTCGCATGGCTATGATGGATTGGCGAAAAATAGAGACTGGACGGAAAAAAAAATGATGTATTTTAGCAAGTATATGAAACTTTTAAATGATTTTAAGCCTTCGCCAAAATGGCTAAAAGTAGTTGGTTAATTTTTCACCAGTCCAAAATAGTAAGGGTCGCCAAACGGGGCGATACCCAAAACATTTGTTATCGCCCGACGCCAAAAAAGGTCGCCACTAGCGACCGGGCGACCGCTAATTTCTAGCCCTGAAACACTATATTAATAGTTTAACAATAGAAATGAAAATCAATTCCATTTTAGTTGAGTATTCCCAAAATAAAATAATTTTGGTAAAGAGTGTGATGCTAAATTATAGCTAGCAAGAACACTGATTATTTTTTAATGATTGTCAGTCAACAGTGAATGACTCACCACTTATACTGGATGAAAGCTATTCACAATAAAAATCTCAATAAAAAGCACAATTTAGGAGGCTTATGATATGTAGTTGTTTTCAGTGGAAAAAATTTAAGGCGGGATTTGACACCATGACCATGACACTAAAAGTCAAGCATCATAACACTACACTAAATAAAGTTATCCCTTCAATATTTATTTGTGTATAATGTTAAATGAAATAAAATAAGTTTTTTATTAAATAAATTAAAAATAAAGATCACAGGTGACCCTTGCATACACATGTTTATATATACCATAACAGGGGTACCCTGGCCTCCCATTCCCTACTGGTTCCACCACTGTGAAAAAAAAATGAATACCGTAAAATGCTTGGTAAAAAATAAGCGCCGCTCTCGAAATAACCGCCTCTCTTGAATAAGCGCCGCGGCGCTTGAAAGAGAGTATATTATGGACCTGTGTGCAATGAAACACTTTAAGAAATAGGATTTTAAATACGACACAAGCATTTCTTTATAAACGTTTATTTACGATGACGTGGCCTACTGAAGTACGGGAATATGTGAGATAGGTAACATGGGAAAGGGCATGGAATGCACCAAGCCAATATTTTTTTTTTTTTTTTTGTGCCGCTATCGATAAGCACTGCACTGAAGCCTCCAAAAATTGTATAAGCGCCACAGTGCTTGTTCGAGCATTTACGGTAATCATAATTATTATTATAATATGATCTTTTTCTTTTTGTCAAGAGTCACTGTGCCTCGTTATAGCACGCTAGATAGATGGTGCATTATACCGTAAGTTCTGTTTTATTATTATTATTATCTCTTAATTGTAAAATAAAAAATTTTACTTAATAAATCAAGGTGCTAATAGTCATTCTATATTGTTGGGCAGAACAAATATGAAACGAAAAGTAAATGTTTAAACTACTAATGAACTGACTATATCAGAGATAATTTTTAACTAAAATATCAATCATCATTTAAGTAGTTAACTGAATGTGTAAATTATCGGAAGGAAGGCAAAATTAAAATCATTTATTACTTGATAAGGTCCCACTAAAAAAATCATTAGATTATTGCCTCTACCATAATGCATAACTTTCTTTTCAAAAATATTTCTTTTTTTGAAAATATCTTATTTTTCACATAGATTAATCATGTTTGTTCTCCCTCGAAACAGTTTAAAAGGACAGAAAATTACCAATTGATTCCAATTTCCAATAAAGGCAAACATAGATGCTACTGTTTATGGAAATCTGTGGTATAGAATTCTAATTGAATAGCTTCAACATTTAATCAACTTATTATTATGTTCCAAAAATTGTAATCTTTGTGCAAATTTCAATGGTAAAATACATAACTACACCAGTGGCGGATCCAGGAATTCGAAATAGAGGGGGTCCAGAGAGGGTCTTTCACAGATAAGGGGGTTCACCCACCTTAGCCCCACCATGGTTATTTATGATTATGTTACCTCTAGATGGCCAGAAATGGCACTTTTGATTCTAAATTTGAATATAACTTTCTTTTTTCTTCCATTTTTTTTATTTAAAGGGGCCAGGCCAAATGGCACCTTCCC